GCGGGCGGGCGGGCCGGGCCGGCCGCCTCGCTGCGTGGCGCTGCGCCTTTACCAGAAGCGGCTGCCCTCTTGCCTCATCTGCAGCGGGCCATGACGCGAGCTTTCAAAAAGAAAAGTACTGCAGCGGTGACGGAAAACGGCCACGCTTGCCATCGACAGGGGGAAAATACGCCTTCCTGTTTCTCGGGGGCGGGGAGTTCGAGTCAAACCGCACGGGGGGCAATCCACGCTGCGCTACGTTGAAAAAGCACGTTTGTCGAAACATTCAAAGACATCAATGACGACACCCTTGAAAGGAATCATTAGAAAATAATATCATGGTCACGCCATCCTCAACGCGACCGATCCGGTGCGGGGTCGCGGGGACACCCCAAACTGGTCACCAGAAGTAGTTGGATATGTTTTTTTCTGTTAGCATTGCCGATATCAATAGCGTGTCTCCTTTCTGTGTACGACTGGATCTGGCTTGCTAACTACAGACTAGCACGCTAACCATTAACCTCAAGGGGGCACTAGTGAGTAAGCCGCCTTCAACATTTCTCGGGGGCGGGGAGTTCGAGTCAAACCGCACGGGGGGCAATCCACACTGCGCTACGTTGAAAAAGCACGTTTGTCGAAACATTCAAAGACATCAATGACGACACCCTTGAAAGGAATCATTAGAAAATAATATCATGGTCACGCCATCCTCAACGCGACCGATCCGGTGCGGGGTCGCGACGACACCCCAAACTGGTCGCCAGAAGTAGTTGGATATTTTTTTTTCTGTTAGCATTGCCGATGTCAATAGCGTGTCTCTCCTTTCTGTGTACGACTGGATCTGGCTTGCTAACTACAGACTAGCACGCTAAACATTAACCTCAAGGGGGCACTAGTGAGTAAGCCGCCTTCAACACTCCAGCCAGGGCCGGCGCAACTCGATACTTTTCGACGGCAAGTTCGTTGGCTAGCGTTTAGCATTTTCCGACGGTTAACATTCGAGGATGGACTCGCAGGTTTTGTTGGCGAGCGCGCGACCGCTCTCGGCTTTCATTGAAACATTTCCACATGCTTTTGGGGCAACGCCGGCAGTCTGCCGTGCGGCCCTTGAACGCGGGATTGGCCATCAAGTGAAATTCAAGCGCTAACCATACAACGCTAACCGTGTCATTTGGTAAACACGCTTGGTCTCGCGCTGAACTCTGCGGGGCCCTGCTTGTACTCTGCGCTTCTCACTCGGTTGCAGTTTGCGAGGGAGGTGCTGAATAGCGGCTGATGCCCACACGTGCTAATTTATTCGCGCAAACACCGCGAGCGGCGGCCGAGTGTGCCGCCCGACAGAAGCCATGACACATCCATCGCCACATGGTCAGGTAGCATTATGTAAAGACGGGAAAGAAAAGAAAAAAAACAACAGCATCATTTGCTACTTGGACGCTGAGCAAGAGTCACCTATTTTGAAGTGCTTTTTATCGGATTCGACGGTCCTCATCGACCCTCCCCGCTTGCCGTTGCTCCCTGTTGACTTCTGTCCGTGTCATTTTATTACGAGGCCGGGTCAAGTTTGGCATCGCTGGAAAGTTGGCTGCGACGCCCCCCTCGCAAACTCTTGGGACCGGTCCCCCTTTCCGCCCCCTCGCGCCCAGGCCGGTTGGCTCGTCGTCAGCGGCGGGACGCGGAAACGCACACACTCGCGGGTCTCACCAGGTGCAGGCTGTCGGCCTTCTGAGTTTGCCTCATTCGGCTCTTCTGCGCCGCGATGCGGTTCTTCTCCCGCCGCATCACCTTCTTCACGTCGTCCGACGAGCTCTGCGCACAGACCGGGTTGGAAGAGATGTCAGAAAAGCCTCCCCCGAGCTGCCCATCGGCCGAGCACAAGGGATGGAGACGAGCATGCTTTCAGAAAGGGGAGGACTTTTGTTTTTTTTTGTTTTTTTTCAGACGCCCCCCCCCTACGCCCAAATCAACCGCTCTGCGTCGCCTGAGAGCTGACGAGACTGACTCAGACAGCGCGCCTGTAAAATGGAAATGAGCCGTTACGGGGACCTGAGGTGCGGCGGCGTGACCTTGGCCTAACCGAAAGCTGCCGTAGGCCGCAACTCACGCCCAGACGCTCGCACGAAAGCCACCTCGGCTCCAGCTTCTGACGTCACCCTCCCCCTTAAAAAGCGCACACCCAACAGTCATTAGCGAGAATACAAGTGGTACATCGAATGACCTCCGTTACTGTGAGGGAGTCTTTTTTTTTTTTTTTTTCTGTTGTTGTTTGTCTTGACTTTGGTTTGTCGTCCATTTGTGTTGAGCGGAAGGAACGTTGAATGCCTTCCGAACATCACCTGGACAGTTCATTGAGGTGGCAACACTTCGGACGGAGCCCTTTAATTTATTTCCAATTGGAGAATTTCAAAGACAAACAAGGATCCAAAGCCACTTTTGCGCACGCCGGAGGACCCTTCGGAATGCGACGTCAAACGCGGCCCGTCCCCATTCGTGGCGCTTGCGCATTTGCGATGCTTTGACAATGATTTTGAAGGCCAAAAACTTCCAACGAGGTGCAAGTCAACCGGTTGTGGGTTGCGTTTCCGCGGCGGAGAGTTCAAAGCCCCGCCGAAGTCTCGTACTGACTCTGATTTTTGGAGAGCCTGCGGCAGGCTCTCCTTCAGAGCTTTCGGGTCTTCCGGAGTCGTTTTGCTTGCGTTTGTTGCACGGGTGTACGTGAGACCCACAGTGGAAAGTCAGTCGTCTCTTCAAATCATTTCATTTGAAAGTGGAACAACTTGGTTGTGCGGCTTCATCAACACAAAAGGAAGGAAGGGGGGGGGGGAGAGGATGACTCTGTGACACACAAACACGCACAGCCCAAGTGTTCCCGACAACTTTGGTGTTCTTGGCACTTTGTGCCGCTTCACGCACACGCGCAAAGAGAAGCCCACGCTGGGCCGGAGGCGAGTCCCGCGTGCGCATGTGTGAACGCGTGCTGATGGCGAGGACGAGGCGAGAAGAAGCCGAGACGGCAAAGGGGAGGAGGAGGAAGCCAGCCGGCCTTACCTGCCTGCCTCCGGCGGGTGACGGCGACCTGTAGCTTGCGTCGTTGCTGTCGGAGCCCTGAGCCATGGCCACGAGCGGCGGCGGCGGCAAAACGCCTCTCCTCCTGCGGCCACTTGCGCTTCGCGTGCGTGAGAGATTCGGCCGCGGCGCTGACAAGAATTGGCCGTGCCACTCGCCGAGGGTCGCGCTTGCCTCTTTTTTTCTCTCTCTCTCTCTCACACACACTCCGCCTCCTCTCACTCTCGCCGTCGCTCACTGGCGCTGCGGCTCTTCCGATGAGGTTTCTGGTCACAAGAACACAAGGAGAAAAGTGGTGAAGGGCTGGAATGTGAACAAGAGATCACGATTACTCACGTTAAGAAAGTACCTTCTGCGTTCTGCGTTGCAATGTTGTGAGATGAAGACAAAAAAAAGTTTTCCCTTCCTCGCTGTATGTTGATTTTTTTTTTTTCTCAAAGCCGAAACCGCGCGCGCGCCTAATGCTCGGTCAGGGATGAAATTGAGCGACCGAAACCCGGCGGCAACGAGACGTTTCGAACAAAGTCTCAAGGGGACCAAACGAGCATCCCAAAGCCGGTCGCGGGGAGGACCGCCTCCTTCATCTTGGCACGTGTTTCCAGCGTGCGCATTTGACTCGCTGGGCTCTCCCTCTCTTTTGTCTTTTTGGTCAAACGAAGGATACAAGACTTAAATGATGCGGTGGGGGACTTTCAGTTTTGTTTTTTAAACAGTCGAACTTAAGGTGGGTTGAAAGGGACTTTTGCTGACGTGGCTCCTTTAGAGTGCCCCATAATGGCAGTGTGGGAAAGCCCTGCGATGACCCCCCAACAAAAGATTGAAACCAGTGATGACATGCGATTCTCCCCTCAATCTTGAAATCCAGCAACTGGAAAGGTCACAACAGATTTTGTTCAACTTGTTTTGACATTGATTTGTGTTTTTAGACTTTTTTTTTTGTAGCATTTACATTTTTACCTTCGCGATGGATCAATAATGCTAGCAGGTTAAGCAGCGTTTAGCATAGTGAGAACATGATAAAAAAAAGAGGAGCCAAACAGCTTTGCTTGGCAGAAGTAACAGCCCTCCTACACAAAAACATGTCCCATCATCGGAGGGATTTTTTTTTTTTCAGCGCATGGACACAGGCAATCTTTTCCCAACATACTCCAAGAACGATGATTACACAAACAATGACGCGGGGAACAATACAAATACTGAGTGTTGGGCAACGAGAAAAACAGGAATAAAAGTGGAGTCGCTGCGCTAAAAAACAAACAAACAAACAAAAAACATTTTCTTTGAACGCACAACGGAGCTGCTCTTAATGTCACCTCACACTCAAATCAGACAAAGTGTGTGTGTGTGTGTTTTACATGCTGGGAAAACCCCTCAGAAAGGGGGCGCTTGTTTCGAAAACCACAGGTGGAAAAAGTGAAGCGAAGAGTTTGTGGGTACAACCCTCAACCTTAAAGTCAATTAAAACAGTCTCTTCGACTGAGAAATCGTAACATCTCATAAGTAGTTTGTGGCTGGGTTGCGATGGTGACCCCGATACAAAAATTTTAAAAAATGGTGAGCTTTGGCGCCCTCTGCCGGCCAACAGCTACTAGCAACTTTTTGGTTTGTTTTTAAAGCGTGATTCGTTGAGTTGCGGCGGTTGAGCGGTGCGGTGTTGTTAGGCAGCTCATACAGCTTGACGGAATCATTCGGAGAAGTGATTTGGAAACAACAGGTGCCGGGGTTCGAACCGAAAACATTCTGGCTCACCGAACACCGAGTCGTGACGTCAGGGGGTGATCCTCCCTTCCGTAACGGCATGAATGGGGCTCGTAACAGGAAACCACAACTACCTCTCCGATGTCTACCGTCAGTAAAAACAAGATGGTGTGGGAATGGGGGGGGGGGGGGGGTCCTTTCACCTCAGAATTCACGTAACTTGCTTGTCTCTGAACGACATTTGACGGCTACGGCGGCCGAGAAAGCTCATGACAGCAAAACGTCCATAAAGCCTACAACAACAGTATCAGCATTATAAATCAACTTTTTGTATGTAGATTTAGGCTGTTGGAATTTTCAACAATAAGTCGCGAATAAGTATATTTTTTTAGGTTTATTTGAAATGATACATTTACAACTATAATTGAATTAATCATTCTGTTTAACAATTTTATAAACTAACTCAGGTAGTTTCGGGTGGACGTTAGCAAATATTTTCATTGGACGCTAGCTAATTCCGGGTATGCTTAGATTTTAAAATTAAAATTAAAATTTTACAGTACACATGTCAAAACAACTCACGTGTCCACGTGTTCTTCAAGTTCAAATCTGTGGGGAAACAACATAACCAGAGCTTTTTTTTTTTTTTTTTTTGCAAAAGACGAGTGGGAGCACATTTTGTTCAATGTAAGATGGAATTCTTGTACCGACACGTTGATAAAAATGACATACGGAGAACAAAATGGTGCTATTCGTATTCCGACACACACAAAATGTTTTAGCATTGACTGCACTGTCAACAAAAAGACATTTTCCAATAGGATGGGGCTGACAAGTACACAAAATGCTCACCCCCCCCATTATCAATTTACGAACCCACTAAAACCACAACTGCATCATGTGCAATGTTAACAAAACAGAAAAAAACATACAAGTTGAACCGAGTTAAGAAAGCAGAAATTTCATTCGTTGCATTTTAATGGCCTGGAAACTTTGGCAAAATAAAAAGGCCTGGCAACTTACAAAACACTCATTTTAACAAAGCAACTAACAACAACAAAAGAAAAACAACAACAAATTAATCCACTGGACATCTGGAGTTGTCTCGGAGAGGAGTCGAGATTTCATTAGCTGGGAGAAAGAAAGAGAAATGTTTACTTTTTGTGTTAAAAGTGTCTTCAATGCATATTGTTCTGTTGGGCGGAATTCTCACATCTCCACCACCTTCGACGACGAGAAAACTTTTCATTTGGTTGATAATGCGGAAAAACATCACGAGGCGACAAACCGACAGTATAGATTTGCGAAAAATAAATTGAGCATATTTGGAGATGTGAGGTTTTTCCGCCCGACAGTGACGGACTGCATTCAACTTTGAACCAACCACCTGCTCTGTGTCTTGCTCCACTTCAGGGCGTGTCTGGGAGGCACAGACGCGTTAGGGTGGAAGAAGGTGCAGCCGTCTCGGTTACACTGGCTGGCAAAGTGACACGGCTGCCGGGAAACGCAAATCCATTCCAGGATGGAGGGGGGGGGGGGGGGGAAAAAATTAAAAAAAAAATAATTCAAAATACAAGGGCAAAATAAATCTCCGGACGCACGGCATGGCTCGTTAAGCGGCCATTTCTTTGCCTCACTATCAACATGACAAGCTGAGATTCAGCCAGGCCCTACTCTGTATCTTCTACTCCAAAACTGTGCTGACTTGCCAATGAGGCGCGACGTATCACGGTTAAGACACAAATTCCGTCATAGCGCTCTCACTGGCACGCAGTAAGAAAGGCACGCGTTACCTTGGGATGATAAAAAGGGCAGTCCATCTTCTTGCACTGGGGGAAGAAGCGGCACATGCTCACTGTTTGCGCCGGTGGGGCCACTGTGTAAAAAAACAAACAAACAAACAAAGCAAGAAGAAAAAAAAAAAAAAGCAGGTCACCGCTGTTACGTTCCAAACACACAAAAGTTGGTTTTGGGGAGTTACGGCACATCAGGGTCGAGCACCTGGCCTGGGGGGCGGCGCCAAGGCACCCCTGCGGCTCACGTGGGTGTAAGGACAGTCGGGCTTGCTGCATCTGGCGTCGTATTTACAGTTGGGGTGGACGAAAAGGCATTTGTCGCCAAACTTGCACGTGGGGAATGTCCTGCGGCACAAACGCAGCATGTAACTCTTTCGATGCCAAAAAAGGAAGGGGGGAAAAAAAAAATGGCCAAGACTGTTCTCTGCCGATTCCCATGAACAAAAAGCCCACACAAAGGCTTGTTCTTGTGAAAGCACTCACTTGCAAGGTCTCGTCGGGTGATGATAGGGACACCCGTCTCCGCTCTTGCACACCGGCCAGAACTTGCAGCGCTCCATCACTTTCGGCTTCTTTGAAGGCGCCGAGTCGGCGTCAAAGCTCTCCGCTTCCTCTGTTCACAGACACGTTGGGGGGTGACCGAAGGGACGTCGCGTCTCGCGAGCTCGCGCCTATGTACCTAATGAAGTGTCCATCGGGCGCATGTCCAGACCTGCCAGCGAGGGGCCCCCACGCAGCCTTTGGAGGACGCCGACTTTGGACTTGGCGGCCTTGGGGGGCGGCCTGACGTCTTCCAGCTCCATTTCCGACTCAGCCAGATTCTCCAGCGGGCTCGGAACGCCCTCCAGTGTCACGATGAACTTGGGGCTGGGGGAGCTTTCCTTCTCCTTGCTGGCGGAAAGGAAGAAGCCCGCGCGTGACAAAGAAAAAAAGACAAAAGCGAAGGCCGTGTCCGATTCACTTCAGAACGCAAGGAATCTCCCAAGTCTCGCCGAGCCCACCCGAAAAGCCAAAAGGAGGTCATTTCCGGGAAGGGCAAAGACGACAAGAGGAGAGCGTCTGAAGGGTGCGCGCACCTGGCCTGCACGGTGCGCGGTCGGGCCAGCTCCTCTTTGCGATCCCGCTGCCGACTGGCGGTTCCGTCCGGCTGCGGGCGACTCACGATGAAGGAGCGCGTGTCGAGCCGCTTCGTGGCGTCGCTCGCTGCGGAGAAAGCGGAAACCGCGTTGATGAAACAACCGCCGATCGCGGACGGGGGCACCGCCGGACAAATTCAAGGTCTTCGACCGAGAGGGGGAGAACACGGGAGCGGCGCGCACACAGGTGCGAGACCAGGCTGACCACTGGCCCACGCTGCTCTGCTGCAACGTATCGAGGCGAAAAAACAATACTCACGGCCGTCACTCGCGCCTCCGCGGTTGCGCTGCGCCAAGTCCGACGAAGCCACAGATCGGGCTGCAACTGAGGACAAACGGGACATTCATTGACTTGTTTTAGAAGTGCTGCGTTCATTTTGTGAGCATTTCTCCTTCATTTCGGGAGTCAATCATGGCACCCGGGGCGAAGGTGGGATGCCAGACTTCCATGATTGACTCTTGTGATTGAAAATGGAATACAAATAACCCCCTTCATCCAGTTCATGACCAAATATGGTGTTCTGATGGTTTAATAAAAAATAATTAAATTAAAAACAAGATGGCAGGCGGCAATACCTTAAGTTGCCACAGGATGGCGCTAAAGTATGACATTGCTTTCGACATAAAAAGCTGTTTTTTTTTTTTTTTTT